AGATCGGGGCAGCCATTTAAATTTAAATGAAGCCGCGATTATTTTAATCGCGGCTTCATTTCCCTCTCCCGATCTGGCTAATCTACATGCCTCCGTCGAAGGAGGCATGTAGTCTAGACACACCCTAAGTGAGGGAAAAACCTGAAAACACCATTTTCTGTATTATAATTTAAATATAAATACGGGATTGTACCAAAATGCAAGACAATGATTAGCAAAAATGCAAGACTTTCATGTGTGAATGTCTGAGCCATTCCACTCAATATTTTGCTGTTTTGTAATGTAATTTAAATGAAAACTGAGGATTTTAACTGGAATGCAGAGTATTGGTTACAAAGTACTTGTAAATTTAATTTCATGTGTTTAGGAAACTCTGATTTGTTGTTGTGAGTTTTTTCTGTATTGAAATTAAAATAAATTGTCAAAATATTTGAAACCTTCACGATTATATTACATTCTTTTAAAAAATAAAATATGCAGAATTTTCACAAGAGTAAAAAGATACAAGTGTCATGCATTTTTTTTCCTGACTGGCTAACACTGCATCAGTGATGCATGCCTTGTGAGCTGTCAATGCTTGCACAACCATAGAAAAATAGCCCTTTCTGTTAATGTATTCTGTGGCCAAAGTGCCCTGTAAGCAGCACAGCTATTTTCTGAGCCCTGCTCAGAGGTTCAAAGCTCCTCTTGCAGGCAGAGAGCTCAGCTGGTTGCAAGGCAGGGGTGTCTGTAAACAGCAGCTAAAGGGTGCCACATGCTGAAGACCTCCCAAAACATTTGTTGTTTTTTAAGTTTATCCTGTACAGACTAACTTGGCTACCCCCTGAAGCTTCTTAAATCCCGTGTTGCTAATTAATACATGGTCAATGGTATTTCTTTAAGACCAGATCTTTGCTTTGTGGTAGAGTTCTGGTTCTTATGTGAGTCACATGTAGCAAGTTTAGGTGTGATGCCAGTTTTGTAGGATGAAACCTTATTTGCAGGGTCTTTGTAACATGCATCTGTCTACAAACCCTGAAGCCATGTGTTAATTTGTTCTGGGGCTTCTACTCTTCCTCCAGTGGAAGAAGGCTAATTCCCTATCTTTGTACAGCATCTTTGTCATCACTAAGGGTACCTTCCAGCAACTAGACACAGGTGTCTTGTAATATATTTTCTTCTCCACATATGGACTGCTTAAAGTGTGTGTGTGTGTGTGTGTATGTTGGTGGTGCATATCCACACACTACCTCTATATTGGTGTTGCACGTGAGAAATTTCAACCCTCCCAAAATAAAATTTAATCTGCCTAAAGATAGAAAATGTTATCAAAACATGTCAAAAGCTGCTGTCAAAACAATGATATATAAATACACACACACACACACACACACACACACACACACACACACACACACACACACACACACACACACACACACACTACTATTGCCTCACCACCTCATTGCAGGAAATGATTAATGGTTCTGCAAGCTTACATGACAATGGTCCCCAATAAGGATTTTCTGATTCCAAAAGTGATTTCCTACTGACCAGTAGGAATCATGCTTTGCAATCTCCTGAAGTGTGATCGCTCAACAGTTAGTGCAGGTTTTGCTCTGATGTGCCTATGTTGGAAGCTTGGCACTCAGAGGTGGTCATTTGGCTTTGTGCATCCAGAAGTTCTGCAGCTATTGCTTGATGTCCCAAATCTACATTACAATGTGATACTGCCTATCAGTGCTTGTTTCTTGGACATAGAAGTGGCATTTCCACCATCTGCAGTTGCATTGTGAGGGTTACTAAAAGCCTTGAATTTTTTTTGCCTATATCACAGCAATCTGTCCTCTACAAATTTGTTGTGCCCCATTGCTGTGGCTCATCCTGCAGCTCGGTGAATATCAGAGGCATATTCATCTTATGTTTGCAGTGCTCATGACACTAATGGAGAGCTGTGTGGGCTCAGTGCTTATATCAGAGATTATGGACTGTGAGAACTATCACAGGTTTTGCAGATTTAAAACAAGCAGGAAAAATATGGGATATGCATGACATTATTGGATGAAGTAAGTTGCATGTAGAGAGCTTGCCTACTTGCTCACAGTCACCCCGGCGTGACTTAGTTCTGCCTCACCATGCATTGCCAAAAGTCAATGTATTGGAAGATGGCAAGCAGCATAGTAGGATACGTGCCCATAGCGCACAACATTGTGTATCAATACAAGCATTCCTAAGTATGTGCAGTGCCAGTACAAGGAATCAAGTTTGCATGCACATGAGCAAACTGATTGCTCTATGCCAGTGATCACTTTTAAAATGTCATGGCAAGCCAGGATCTATCCCATCCTTTCCCTGATACCCCACCCCTTTCTTGAATCCCTGCCCTCTCCAA